GGGTCCTCTGAGCTCTGTTTCCTTGTAGTTCAATTGGACAACTAAGCAACCAACAACCGAGCTGCCCTCTAGCTAGGAGCATCCAGATCGTGCACAATCAATTGGCGTCGTCTATGGGAAACACAACAAAAAGTTAAGTTCTTACCTTACTCTATTTATTTTTTTGCAAAATTTTCACTAATGGCCTCTTCAAGCACTGGCAAGAGAGTTGAGATGCACGTCATTGGGGGGCAAGACCAACCTGCACTTAACCCCGAGACCCCCACAGTGACCATCGGTAAGTTTGCCATCCCCCTTACCATTCTAGAGGTATCAACAGTTCAGAACCTGGCATTCACTACTCGGTCAGTTTGCGCGCCCATGCCTCATGTGAGCGCCTCTCTCCCAACCATAGAGCCCTCTGTGGTTCTTGTTGAGGTAGAAGCTCAGCGGTTCCATGAGCTTGTGCAAAGTGCCCTAATTATGCAACTCCAATTTCAGCAGTTCTAGCAATTTCAACAGTACTAGTAGAACCAACAAAACCAATAGTACCACTACAAACTACATTTCCCTCCACTTCACCAAAATCAGTAGAACCAGAACCAACAGCATGGACGTCGGTCACCTCCTTGAGGACCGGTGTCATCATGGGTCCCAACTCTTCCTCAGAACCAGACTCTACCTCGGGATCTAGCACTAGGTCAGCGCCCATCACCACGACGGTAGGTAGTCGACTAGAGAAACCAGCCACAGCGCAGCCACCAAAGCGATCTGCAACAATGATCGCGCAATGATCAAAAACACAGTCGTCAGCCCAAAAGAGAAGTAAGTAACAGAAAACCCGAAGTGAGGGGTAAGGATCTGGTTTGGAACCCATCCTATCACCCCAACCAGCAAGACCCAGCCCACGTTCGTGAAGACGCCAGTAATAGAGATCAGCTCCCCACTCGTGGCAGTATCCAAGATCAGGAGAACACTAGAGTCGAGATTCCAGCCAGCACCGAGGTGAACAACACTAACAATGAAGCAACAAAGAAGCGACGTCGCCGACGTGCATGCCACACCTTGGGTAAGAGCAGTGTTGACTATTTTGCAGTAGTAGAGAAAAGAAGGGAAGAAGTGAACTCGATAGATGCACAGTCGGCTCCTATCTCACTGAGTCGGCCTTCCCCTTTAGCACTAGAGATCCTTTCAGCCCCGAGGCCAAAGGGCTTTAAGACCCTAGCCCTGGAGACCTACAATGAAAAGACGAAGCCTTTTTACTAGAATATTTCCACTCTTGAACCGAGGTCTCAACCTCGGCCAAACTGGACTCCAAGCTATGCGCCAATGTCACCATCTCAGTCGGGCCTAACTCTAAGTCTTGGACCGAGGTGCCCTCCTCAGCCCCACCAGATTCACCACTCATATCAAACAAGCTACCCGTACTACTAGACATGCTAAAAATAAGAAACAAACTCAAACTGGAAACTAAAGTGACGAAAGACGACTTACCTAAGAAAGAAGAAAGTATACGACCTTGGAGACAAGACAATGAGCACCGACCTAGAAACTAGCGCGCAACCTCCAAAATGTCGAAATCCACAATAAGACAAGGTGAATGGGACCCCAAGGCCCCTATTTATAGCCACTTTAGTCGGTCATGAATGGCTCAAATCAGTTTGATCCGATGGCTCTCATAAAAACCGGTTGCATGGCTTTTGAGGTCGAAATCGGCTGAGTGCGCATTTTGACGTTCGTACGTCCCTGGTACGTGATCTGGTTTTATGGTTGAGTCGGTTGGGTCATCACGGTCTGACCTCTGGACTGGACCTCGACCGGGATGAAGATCGGGCCAAATCTACCTAAGCTCATCATGAACTCCTCGCACCAGGTCAGAACCCCTGGCACGAGGAGTGAGGGCAATTGATGAGGGGTGATTTGGCCTAACCTACTCATATACGAACATGTGAAAGCAACCTGATGATTGGACTTTGACTCGGCACTTCCTGCCACCTCAGCAGGCCAAGGCACCTTGGCTAGGATCGAAGTCCGAGCAACTCATGACGGCCCAACTTGCCAATGTGACGCGTAGCCGTCTTCTAGAAGCGGGCCAGCTGTCTCCAAGCTCTTCAAGATCACTCCGCACGACAGTAGGTCTTATCCTTATCCCGCCTGGATCGGATGGACTCTATAAGCCTTAACAACAAGTACGAAGTCCTCCTCCTGGTGCGAAACGAACTCCTAACAGTGCGAGCCAAAGATCTTGGAAGTGTTTCGTGAGACCAACGACAACTCACCTATTTAAAGGCATCAACCCCAACAACACAAGATACGTGCGATTTATTGCTCACTAGCCTACTTGCTATCAAACTTTCAGCTCACACACTAAGCGTACTAACTTAAGCATCGAAGCGTCCACACCGGATAAGTCACCCCGAATTCTCTGAGCTTTGTTTCCTTATAGTTTGACCAAACAACTAAGCAACCGACGACCAAATTACCCTCCAAGGAGCATCCAGATCGCACACAATCAGTATCCATTTCAACTTGCCTAATATTATTTTTTGTTTGGTTATTAGGTTGTTTTAAAGAAAATGGTCGTACTTGTGTCTCGGTTTTGGTGAAAGTAAACTCAAGTGAAAACATCTTTTATGTGTGTGTGTTTTTCTTCTTATAACGGAGCATTTTTAACTTCATATATTATGTGGAACGTGGCTAGAGTAAACAAAAATAAACAAATGAGCTTTGGGTTATGTGCATAACCCAAAAAGTCTCCCAATTTTTAATGTGTAAGCAAATACAAACAAATGAATCCTAAGAAAACTACTATCATGGTATCAAATACAACTTTAGTTGATTTAATTTATGTAAAAAATCAATAAAAAGAAAATAAATCTATTAATTAGGAAAAGAAATAGGAAAAATAATTAATTCAAGATGTTAGATTTAGAATGATAAAAAAAAATATCATTTGATTTATGCAACAAAAAATTAAGAACTTGATTGACCTCTTTTTTACACTGAACTAATAGAAGTTAATTTACCCTATTGATTTTTCATTGATAATTAAGGCTTATGCCTATTTTTTGCCTCATGCCTTGAGACTTGAATATTATGCCTCATTTTGAGAAAGTTAAAAACCTTGAAGCAAAATCTAACGAGCCTTTGCACTAAAATGCATGTCTCGCGCTTTAAGACTTAAAACTTTTAAAAATAATAATTAAGAGATGAATCATATATACTAATAGCAATAGGTGGAAACAATGTGCATAGAATTTATGGTGATGGCCTGAACTGAGATTCTCACTACTTGGTGGACACCGTGGAGCCTGAGATGTCATAAAGTGGCACGCATGCCAATACAGGGAAAGTTGTAAAGTTGTGTGTGGATGATACACAGCTTCACTACTTCTTCTTTAAGTATTTGCCTAAAGAGATTCAGGTACCCACATCATTGTTTACACTTTATGTTTCTCTTGTATTGAATAGTTGATGAATAAATAAATAAATAAATGGAGATAGTCCCGACTGGCGACTGGATCAGGATCAGATAGCTCATCATAAAGGGAGTGGGGGTGTAGTGTAGGACACTTTGATTACAGCGGTGGTAGATCGGACATTACTGGATCATAATAATAGCATAGGCCAGAGCTGCACATGCTCATCAATCAAATACACCATACCAGTCCACATGTTGTTCTGAATTCAGCAGTGGTATCGATTCGACGGTTCATGGTTCATAAACGTCAGAAGAGTCAAAGAACAAGCAATCCGTCACCGTCATTCAGACTTCTTACTTAGCATCCATCAACAACACTCACGCATCAAATAAATGTAATGGCCGGCCGTATGGGTGGTATCTAAATACTCCGCCGTGTGGGTTGCCTGGAGCCTGGTCCATTGATTCCATTTTATAACCCTATTGTACCTGTACCATGATGCATGGAATCACCACAACTCTTTTTCCCGACTCCCGTACGTAGAGCTTGAAGTGCAGTGAATACTAGAGTGTAGACATCTGACCGCAAGTGTACAGTACCACTACCTACTGGTCCTGCTCTACTCTACTCCTCTTAACTTAATTTGTTCTCAAATTCCACACGGACATACAACTCAGATGATGGGAGTCAGGGAGTGGAGCTCCCTCCTCCGATCGCAAACATCCATCTCAAATCCTTATAATGCTCAACTTGAATCAATTAATAGTCAAATCACTCCTCATTATACTCATCCATGTAAGTAGAGTAAAGGCATTGATCGGGAATCACCAACCTATTCACAAAAAGAAAGGAAAAAAAAAAAAAAAAACAGTCAGAGATCGCTATCCCTTCTCAGTCGTCCTCACTCTGTCACCCACTCTCTGCAAGTGCAAGGAATACAACACAGATGACGCAAGACTCAGATAATTAAAGATCAGACTAAATACAAGATTCCCCCAGGAGGCCACGATTAATCCGGCAGATGGGGCATCCGCTGCTGTGTTGGAGTTGGACGAGGACGACCCTAAAGGAAAGAACATTGGCCATCAGATCTCTACATATTGAGCAAGCAAGCAACGTTAACGCAGAGATGATCGATTCAGCTGCAGAGAAGTCCGTGTCTGTCAGTGTGTCTGTGTGTGGAGTCCGGGCGTGGCAGTTTGGGTGGTGTCTGATGAGAGAGATTTGTCATCTCATCTCATCTGGCCATATTAATAAGGTAATCTCACCTCTGTTGGTGTGTCGGGAATTGGCTCCTCTCCTCTACTTCCCTACCATCGATCGCCAGTCCCAGTCGCCACCCCTTTTTATTCATTCATGCCTTGATCAGCATCGTTCTCAGTCTCAACTCTCAAGAATGAATGGAAGAGAAGACGCAGAGAGAGAACGAATATTCGCCCAACCTCATCTGCAGTGTATCACGTGGAACACCACTGTCGTCACACCAACAACAACCTCTTTTCTCTCCTTTCTGATTACTCCCCTTTTCAAACTAAAATCCATCCAAAACCTTAAAAGAAAGCAAAGAAAAACTCGATTTGATCTTTTTTGAGTCGGAAGTTGAATAAACTTTAACGCTCGTAGAACTGAAGAATTCATTAATTTGTGAAAGGAATTTGAAGAAAAATATAAAAAAAGACTCAAAGACTGAGAGCAAAAGAAAAGACAAAGGCTAACATGGAGAAACCCTAGACTTGACATGATGTCATCTTTTCTGATGAATGCGACAATATTTCGACACATGTGACCATCCATGTCAGCAGACCTTGAAGTCAGGGTGATGATGATACAACGGATGGTGGTTGCTACTCTGCTGCCTGAGAATCTCCTTCTGCCGCCGGAGCTCCATCACCTTCCGATGCGAGTTAGAGTGCTGAGCCAACACGAAGGTCGGACTCGCAGCTGGACGATACTCCGGAACGAGCCGACCTGACTTGTACCGTACTCCGCACGCGTTGCACAGCGTTTTCGGTCCTAGTGGTCCTGTACGCCACTGCGGTGTTTTCTCCGAAGCGCAGTGCGTGCATTTGCGCACCCCTGACGACGAAGACGACGCCGAACCCGACGGCTCTGCAGCTGTGATAACTGACGAAGCCAATGAACCCTCTTTCTTCCTAGAGCTAGTAGAGTTGATATTAGTGTTACTGTTACCCAGTTTGGACTTGCCGGTAACCGGAATGTAAGACTCCGGCAAGGAAGTCCAGCTGATATGAGTGGATGCTGCTCTTGATCGTTTGCTCCTGGTGCGCCCGGGAACTGAAGCGTCAGCTCGGTACTTTGTGTTTCCAACGGGCTCGTTCGTAGGGAAATCGGTGTAGGAGTCGTCGACGAACTTGGAGAGCCATTCTAACTCTGCTACGTCGTCGTTCTGTAGGGAAGAAAATAATAATAAATAAATAAATTATGAAAAAAAAAATGTAATTTAGCAAGCAAAGAATGAAGAAGTAACAAAAATAGTGAGTAGAAGAATTTAATTTGCAGAAGAAGCATTATATAGACACATACAGGGACGCAGAGGTCGTTAGGGAAACTGGTGGAGAGGTTGGAGTTGTCGGTGGTGATGGAGGGGCGATTCCCAGGGTTATTTTCTGAAGGAGGGAGGTGGATGAGATCGGAGTCGGAGAAGAGGTCATCGTTGGAAAAGTCGAGAAGGTCGTCGATGTGGAGGAAATCAGGGGCGGGGAGACCAAACATGTCCATCTCCGATCCGACTTACGATATACGAACAGAGGAAGGATCTTAAGCCTCCCCCCCTCCCTACCTGGGTGGTGGTGATATACTAGGGTTTGTTTTTATGTTTTGGGGTCTCAGTCTCTCAGAGTGTATACTACCCTATAGTTAGTTGGTTCCCTGCAGAGACATATCCCAAGGGAGGGAGGAGATGTTAGTAGTTAGTATGAGGGTGGTGTGACCTGTGGGGTTTCATACTTTTTACATACACAACATTCAGTTCAGAATCAAGAGACAAAGGAACGTGCAGGGAGTGCCCATGCAGTGGGAGCTCCCCTCCCGATATTAGTTTCTTTCTTTCTTTTCTTTTTTTTTTTATTTTTATTCTTATTAATTAAAAAAGAAGAGAATATAATATTTATTAACCTTGTAATTAAAATGAGGAGTGGTGAAGTTCACGAGGAATATATACTTATTCTACCGTTATTTCTCTTCTCTCTCTCTCTCACGCATCTTGACATGTATATATATAAACGTAGGATTTTGCTGCCCAATCGTTGATTGTTGATAGTGGGGGATCCACCGTCCACGTCCACCATTTGGGGTTGGGGATTACAATTTTTACAAATTACAATGGTTTGAGTGTTTTGTTTGGATGAGGTAGGCCGCGCTCGTAATTGTACTTACTTATAACCTTGGTGTTGGTGGTCGAAAGAAAATTACTTCCTTCGTTACAGTCAGGGCTTATCCGGTACATGTGTGTGTAAGAAAAAGTAAGAACGTCAGGGTCAGGGATGTTTGTTAAGTAAAAGTATTATCGTAACGTGTCGGCAGCTTTTATGTATGACAGTATGAGGTGAGGCCCAATTTTACCAGATGAGATGCAACGCTTTGGTAAATCATCACTCATCACTGGAGACCGGAGTGAATGGTGGATTCGCCCATAAAGTAATTTGGATGAACAGTAGAGGGCTCTGCCCTTTTTCCGGTCCATCACGTGGGGACCACCCTTACGAAACGGAGCCCCACTTGCTCTAGTCGTAACGGAAATAGCGCGAAGCGAAAGCCGAAAAGTGGGGCCTGGGGTGAGGCAAGGAAGGAGAGAGTCAATACTCAATAGACCCGAAACGCCCGGTTCCGTCAATGACAAGTGACAACAATGCCGAGTCCGAGTCCGGACGACCACATCCAGCTGGCTTCACCTTTTATTTAAACACGACACTTTTCAATCGAGATTATGACGGCACGTAGTAGTAAATTAGTAATAGTAATAGTAGGAGGAGGAGGGTGCAGTGGTGTGTGATGTGAGCCCAGTCCGGATCTGCTCCTCACACTGCGCGCCTCATACCGACCTCACTGCATTGGAGATGTTCCCAATATAGGGTGGGATCTGGCTGTAAGGTCGGTGTGAGGAACAGATCCCAATTCGTGTGGGCCGTGGGGAAGGAGAGGACGGCAGGACGCTAAGTACCGTCCGTACTCAATATATTTGAAATCCTACGTGTACTCACGAAGTTGACTCAAAAGACTGCCAGCTAGACAGCACGCCACGTAATCTTCCAGTACGGATTAAAACCTTTTCCATTAAAAAATAAAATCATTAGCATTTAATATATAGGAAGGCTGAACTGAATTCTAGGTAATGTAATACGTAAAATAATTAATGTTTTATAGTGCTTCTTTTAGTTTAGATATGTATGAATTGATGAAATTAAGGTCCTCAAAATTACGGAAGGCTTTTGGTGGAGACTGGAGAGAAGAGGAGAAGCCTCGAATCACGTGATGTGGCAGGGAGCAGGGGCCAGGGGGTGTGGGTGGTTCGCTGTGACCTGTGATCCCTAAGCAACAACACAGCACGTGCAAAAGTCATGTGGTGGTTAAATTAAATTAAATTGGGAATCGATTAATTAGAAAATCATGAAAAAATCGGTAGCCCACAGTAACAAACAAAAACCCAACACATGACACATTGGGCATTGGCCACAGCCACAGGATCGGGTCAGGGCCACCAAAGCCTCCCCAAAACTCAAAGCCTAGCAAGGCCTATATTTAATAGCCTAGCATAGGTTTCAGAATTTCAGATAGGTTAAATACTCTCATGTGCGATTTCATCTATCCACGTGGTGCTTAATCCTGACCGTCCCTGCTGTCTCTATATTCAATGCTCGCTCTCTAAAAGTCAATTCACTCGGACGGTTGAGATGTTATTCAATCACCGATGAGGTTTCTGTAATATCCGGTTACCGTATCCCCTCTTATTAAACGTGATCTTCTTGTTAAAACACTTAAAACGCGAATATTTTGATTTAATCTTTTTCTATTACTACCTAGTTTTACTTTTACTTGACATTAAAAAAAGGCGGACGGAGACGAAGCTGACCAACCACGAAACTTTAACCTTTGACTCTTGGAGTAATAAAATTGGAAAGAACCAACGATTCCTCCAGTTTTCTGTTGTTAATGGAATGGTGAGATATTGAGATAAGCATGCATGAGATGAGAGAAGGGCAGAAGGCCGGGCACCACAAGACTTTAATGAACTGGAGCTGGGCGGGTGAATCTGGACACGTGTACACGAATGAGTTTAATGAACTTCGGTGTGGGGCGATGTAGTGGTGGGTGGTGAGCGAGGGACGTGGGGCCACACAAAAGTGCTGGGGCCTGGGGGGCACATGGATTCCGTCAGGCTCAGGAGCAGGAAATGAGGAGTTGGGCCTGGGCACTGGGCAGTAGCTCCCTTCATTTACGACGTTCGTGTGTCGACTGTCGGCCAACCACGTGTTTTCTGCCCATTGGTTCCCAAAAAAAGAAGTGGGTTTGCACTTTGCAAATTGAAAATGATTTTTTCTATATGAAAAAGAAAGAACTATTTATATGCAAAATGTCTGTGTGTTTTTGTTTTGTGACTCAAAGGGAAGGGATTAGGGAGGCCTTGGGGGAAGATAGCGATGTGTATTAAACACAGCAACCAGAGATTTTTGAGAATTCAATATAAGGTATTAAAAATTTAAGTAATGAATCCATGTGTATGTCAATGAAACCAAGAACAGCACTCGTATTCCCCAATCCCCACAATCCCTACCGCCAACAGCAAGGAAAAATTAGAGAGAGAGAGAGAGACTGCTAAAAGAAGGAATATGCACAAGTAATAGTAATAAAGAAAAAACAAAAAAAAAACAAATGCAAGTTACATGCTTCCTTGATAATATATCCTCACTAAAAGATATTAATAATACCACAATATCAGTTGGGACCTGTGGGTAGAAAGTTGAGACCGACAAATTTCTTAAACCGTGCACGAGGGGCTTGTTCTATGTTAGCAAAAGCCAGAGTCAAACAGTGACATCTCTTTGACAAAGCCAACACCCAACGAATTGTACTTTGTTTTCTTAGCTATCTAGAGTAAAGATTAAAACATACCTATCAAAATCATGCATGAAACAGTTAGTTGTAAGAATTTGTTTCATTCCAGGGTTAAAGTTAAAACAGCACCTATAGGAATTCGGATTCAATCCTTACAAAGCGATGCTCACCTATAGATAATGGCTGAGTTGGTTGGATCTCTGGCTCGTTGTAGCAGAGACCACTATGGTTGGGGTGGTTATGGGTATGGGCCTATGGGGAATGCCAAGTAACCTCTAATTAAAACAAAAAAATCATTTATACGGTCAATCCAAAGTTGAAAGGTTTGTTAATCTTTCAGACACTGTACCATTCTGCAACATATCCGTTTTAAACGAGACCAACCCAATGACTTTAGATATGTAATCTGTAGACATTCCCTAATAAGGGCCAGTTGAAGCCGGGTAGGATTTGACTGGGATTTAGAATATATTGTCAATTTTAACACTCATTTCACAAAGCAACTCGTGGGCATTGCTTGCCTTAGTGGCATGACGGCAACAATCACTTGTTGAGCTGTGTACTCTAATATCGTGGGCATTGCATTTTTACAATATCTATCTACTTAATCTGTGTACACAATGTGGCTGGGGAGTGGGGAGGGTGACAATCCGTGCTGCATTGGTCGTTATCCCTGAGAAAGCATCAGAGCATACATGGTTCCAAAGGCATTGACATCTCAGACATGCAGCAGCGCAGATTCTCAATTCGCTACAGTACACCGTGTACCACTTCCAACACTGCCATGTAGGAGAGAGAGAGCACATGAGTGGATAAGAGGAAATAAAGACTCCTGTAAGAATTGTCTGGCAACAACCAGAAAAACAAAGAACAAGGGGGACCAGCTCTTCAACTCCTCTCTTTCCTTGAAATAATAATTTATTGAACCTCTGTTGGAGAAGAATAAAAAAGCAATTTTACTGCCTTTACTAAGGTTTTGAGAACGGCCATCACGAACTTGGTTACACAGATGGGAAGGAACTACAGCAGGTTCAATGCCAAGAAAGGATGCATTGTCACGGTGGTGGCCTGCTCCCATTGTCACCTTGGAACTGATAGACCGAGCTCTAATACAATAAAGCAAACACAACTTTCATCAGATTCACATGGGAGAAACATTAATTACACTAGTTAAACAAAAAGAATATAGAAGGAAGAAAAAAACAACAGGCTTACGTATTCTCAACATCTTTAGCAAACAGGTTCTGGTTACAAGGTACGAGCAGAGAAAGAAGACCAACACAAAGTGAAATTTAGTGCGGGACAACCTCACCATCAGATTCACATGAGAGAAATATGTGCAGTTTAAACAAGAATCAATTAGAATAATGATGGCCCAAATATGATTCTACAAGTAAGAATACAGTCTCACGACAATACACTAGTTGAAGCATACATGACAGAACAGAACCCACCTTCTGAAACCGCATGAAGCAAAATTGTTTTCACGTACCATCAATTCCATCTGGGGAAAGGAACAATTACCGTTACCATATTATTGCTACTAATAATATTAAGTTATTAACAATATCATTTAACTCTACACAACAAACAAATAGGCAACAACTTTAAACCAAAGTTTAAAGTATCGATACATATCGGCCTATCGTTCTGGGACCCCTCCGATACGCCCCTACAGTGGGTGTATCGGGGGTCTGACTGGTTCAGGGGGTGGAGGAGCCCTAAACCAGCCCCCTGAACTGGTTGCAAAAAAAAATAAAAATAAAAAAATAAAAAAAGCAACAAAAAGCAGTATCGATTTGCCCAATACGCCCCTACCGGCTTCATTATACTGAGCAATGGTAGCTCCCAAATGCAATTAAACTCTTAAAACAGTTTAGTCTTGCTCACGCTGTTTTTTTTTTTCGATAAATAGTCTTGCTCACGCTGTTTGAGATGGTGCATCTGGTTAGATGGTTAGGAACGCATGCAACAAGAAACTAAGGTATCCCTTGGGTAAGAGTAACTAGGTGGTACTGACACACTTTAGATAAGTCCAACCTACATGCCTATGTACTTCATACCCGAGTCTTAGTCTGAGAAACAATATAATCTAGATGGTTCCTACACAAGTATACTGCAAAAAAATTGCAACATTAAGTTCACATTAATGCACAAATTGGTGTTTTTCACCTCATCTTTCCATTCCACTGGTGTTATATGGGAACCACCAAAAAACCTTGGTGCTTTTTTATTTCCTTCCTAATACCAAAGGTGTTTCTTTTTCATTGAATAAAATGCTGAAGAAAATGTATGAGAGCTTGATTCAATGTCTATGTGAATGAATAGTTAAGGTTCAACTTAAAATTTCAATGCAAACTTCTGTGTTTAGGAACTTCCAACACACCAGGATTACTTCCTCAGAAGAACGATCACTCTTTGTACACTATTTCCTCGTCATAAAAAAACATTTTAGAATGAGATATGTAACTATGCATGTGTACATTCAGCCAAGTTGTGAAAATCAAGGATTGAATGAAGATCACAAGGATAACAAAGAGAAGCACTAGAAGAATCTTTGTTCACTATGGTTAAATATGTAACTAGTTGGTTTGTTAACAGGATTTTCATACTTGACAACGATGCTGTGAATCAATAATTTGCAGATCCTGTAAAAGCCCAGCTTATTCTTTCAAGCATTGGGGAATCATGTGCCTGCAGCAACCAAATATCTTGAAGTTGGTCTCGGGAGATGAGTGAAAAATTGAAGCCATGATTTCTCATATAAACAAAAGAAAATCACTGTGGAAAGTTATCCTTTAAATGAAGGCGCACTTAAGTTATCTGGATTTGCACATGTAGATTACAAATAATAATTAAGATAACCTTTAACATGCACTAAAGCCACTTCATATCTTTGTGTTTCATAAGCCTCCAAAGAGAAGCTGGAAATGATTTTGCTGACACAAGATGAAATCTTCCAATTTTTGTTCCAAGAGGGGTGAATGGGGGTACATGCGCTACAATTACTCCATATCTCTGTGCTCATTAGAGATTTTGAATGAAAATTCAGTTGGAAATGATTATTGCTGACACAATATGAGATTTACAGACTCCCCAAAAAGCAGAGAATTTTTTGATGGGTAACCTAAAAACCAGAGAATGTGCTTTGGATTTTAAAATTGCATCATTCCTCTACAAGAGTAGAAGAAAATAGCACTTCACCTAGTAGTTCTAAAATGACATAAGCAATAGCTACCCAAGAAACAGAAAAACAAGGAAAAGTCATATGTCAATCACATGGTTATTTTGATTGTCATAAAAATCCTACTTTCAAACTACTTGCTGTTTGCACGCAACATGCTAAGTAGCTATTAACAACTGACTTCATCTAGTTGGAATCATCTTCATTATGATTTTCATCATAGCAAGATAGAAGAAATTATTTTCCCCTTTTTCTTTCTTTTCCTTTTTTTATTGAGGGTGGGTGGGAGAGGGGATGACAGTTTTTGCAGACTCATGGATGCGCCCCACTATTTTCCATAGGCATGAAAATAGGTTCCAACTTTAAGAATGGTTCTCGGTTTATTGATAGTATGAGCACCTTATATGGTAGAGCTACAACAGATCAGATCAAATTGGATACACCTAAATCCAAATTTGATTCGATTCAGATCTGAATCAAATTTTATCCATCAGATTAAGATCGGACAATTCATATTCAAATTCAGAGAAATGGATACTTCCCTGGTATAAAAAAAAATGTCAAGTAGTTTACCGAGGTACAGCAAGGACATGGCTGGACGCGGTATCAATAAGAGATTTACAATAGAAAAATGAAGAATCTGAGTTTTCAAAAAAAAAAGAATGAAAGAATCCATCATGATACAGCACTTTTATACAAGTATTCAGGTATCACTACATTGAGTAGGTCTGCATTCCAAAATAGCCTTTTTATCAATTGACAACCTCAGCAGGAGAAACAGCCAAACATTTGTTTCTACACTATCAAGGAGCTAGAAATCTGTGGCTGGCCAAGATATCTTGGCTTATTTGGGCTGAAATTTGTTTCCCAAGTCCCAAGTTCTGTGGAAGTTTTTTTTTTGTTTTTCTGAAAACTGTAAAGTAAAGTGATTTCATTGAAAACTGTGGAATAATTACAGATAAGAAAAAAAGTTGTATGGAACAATTGTTGGGTAGAGGGTATCTGCAGTGTTTAAGCAAAAGAGGCAAAGTGGCAAAGGAATATGACAGCATTAGATGGAGATGTTAGCAGGGAAGATCAAGGGCATGATGTATTCATGGCTCTCAGTGCATAATAGTTTCAGAGGCATAGATTATAACTCAGTTTTTGACATTCAAAGCCTGATTGGCAATAGCATTTACATATATATTACTTGTACATCCCCATTGTACAGAGCCTTAGTATACAGGGGTTGTGAAGTAATCTTTTCCACTCATACTGATACAGTTTAAATATAACACAATACTTTACTTTTTAAGTAAATGTACAGGCTGCAAATTTTGAATTCCATCTTATACATGGAGGTTGTGTTATTTTGATAATAATTCTAGATTTAACTGTGATACTCCACAAGGCTTTGGTAACGTATGGAGAAGTTTAATGACAACTCCGTGAGTTTTAAAAGTCTTGGAGGAAATTAGTTTTTTTTCGTTTCTATGGAGGGATATCACTTCTAGTAAATAAAATATTTTAGAATTTAATTTGAGACATACACAGAATTATTTTAGTGCTCTTCATGCAAAGAGAGATGGTTCATACCAACACTAGCAGCAGGGAGGTCTCATCCAATAATTGGGGAAATAAAAATTTTGCTTATTAAAAATATGAAATTCTAACAAGGAAACTGAAGAAAAATTTATGATCTGAAAAGGTTGGGTTATACTTAAGCTACAACATTCTACGTGTTCAAATCTGCAGAGTCCATCCAGCATGGCAATCAAAAATCAAACAAGAATCATAGAAAAAAAAAAAAAACAACTTCAGTTTAACGGAAAGATCCACTTAATTTTTCTTTCTATATGCCTTATGACATTAAGTCAAGATGAAGTCATTAACATAAGACCCTCAATTGAAGTCCGATGAATTCAAGCTAAATGTATAGATGGAGAAGCAGCTACTCACACTCAAAACAAAAAAATAAAACATTAGAGTCCGGGAGAGGTACGACAGAGTGTACCCTGTGAGAGAGCGCGGCAACTCCTCGAGTTCGAGCTCAGACATGAGGTAAGCCTCGCAACAGCAACTGCGCTGTGGAGAGGTAACAGAGACTGCGCACATCCAAGTTCGACGGGAGATCTAAAGAAAAATGCCCATCAAATCACAAATAAGACAAGACAACCGATATCGAAAAAGGCACATTTAATAGATGGAAATTTAGGCCTGTAATTGCTTTTCTAAAAAAAACCTGCTCAACGAAGAAAATCTGAGAAGAGGAGTTCTAGATGAGAAAGCGCCTGAGAGAGGGGCTTGTGAGGATGTCGATGTGGAAGATCCGGCAAAAGGTGTTCGGATTTTCGATTTAACGGCGGATTTGAGGGAGGAAATAGCCATTCTGTTGACGAGTCTATTGCAGGCGGAAGCCATGGGAGGTTTGAAGAACTAGGGACCGAGGAAATAGCAGCTTCGTTGCTTTCTAGGGTTGAAGAGTCTAATTTCCGTATTGTGTTTGGGTTTAAAGTTTAAACTACTTTGAAGGGTTTTAGCAGAGGAGTTTTTCTTTTTACAACTCCGCACCGTTAGATCAGGAGCTAATAGACTAGAAAGTCAATGCATCGGAGGGCTAGTAGTATGATCTGTTCATTGAGAGTTTTTAGTTGTTGGTTGTTCCGTTGTTCTTATCCTGCTAGGGGTGCAACAATCCGATTCCAATCCGATCCTTTTTTGTTGGATTATGATAAACCTCCATCGGATTTGGATCATCATATCCGAACCGAAAGGATTTGATCCGATCCGATCAATATATGTTTATAAAATACTAGTAAATGTGTACGTACATTACAGGTGAATACGTGATAGTGTGATTGCTTTAAATGACAATAATAATAATACAATAACAAAAAAACAAAAATAGTAATTATATTTTAGTGTTCTTACGAAAAACCCATGTAAGAAAGATAAATAATAGAAGCATAGTGTGTATTGATGAAACCAATGATTTATTTTATCAAGTCAATAAGCTATGGATGATACATTTATTTTCTTTTTTTTTCTTTTTGGTATTCTTCTTATGTCCATCATTAATCACAATAATTCTCATTTTTAGACATATTTTGTGTATTACAATGAATATATAATATTAAAGACATGTTTAATACTCATGGTCAAATCTACCATTTAACCAATCACACCAATATTTTGGGTCCATTTATCATCAAATTACTTGCTCATAAAAAGCCATTAGCTTGGTTAATAATATGGTGACCCAACTATTTGAACCAGTTAACTATTTGACCTAGTTGGTGGGGTCACAAGTCAAATATTAATTTTATTTTTCATTGATTTTTCCATTCCATTTTCATCATTAATAAAAATATTTTTTATTTATCATATTTATATTCTTGATATGATGAATACATAATATTATACATGTTGCACATATTTTCTATATAATTTATATTTATTTATGATTTATTGTATTTCTATTTACTTTATAAATTTTTATTATTTAATTATAACATCATGAAATGACCCATATGACTTAGGTGGTTTGAAATGTCCCACCACTTTCATAGATGGGAAAAACCAGTTTACTTTTGGGTCAATTTTAGTGTATTCCACTATCATTATTAGTATAAAAAAAAACTTATTTTTTCACACATATTTTTATTTCCAATTAAGCAATATAGTCTTTGCACTTAGATTACATCCCAATGGGTGGGATAACAACCTCCACACAAGTAAAGTTCAAGCTCATTCAATCTAGAAAGGTATAACTAAACTCTATCCACTGATTTTTAACCACATCAAATACTTAGTAGGTAATGGGTCCCAAGTTAAATTTTGGATAGATATGTGGTGGGGTATATAGTAGTCCTTTAGCCTTGCAATTCCTTTGTCTTTTTCATCTTTCCCTCAACCTTGAAAGCACGATTTTGAGCTTTATACCAAATTCCAACTCAATTGTCTCTTGGACCTTTAGTTGGTGTTGAACCCTTAGAGACCATGAAAATTTGGACCTTTATCACTTAAAGTCCTTGCTTTCTGATGTATGCATCTCACTCAATCAATTAGATCACAGAATTTGGAATGCTCACACTTCAACAAATCATTTGTGTGTATTGTAGTGTGAGCAAAAAGGTCTAGCTTTTATTTCTTCTTTTCAATTTGAATTGAGTTAGTCTAAATCATGTCTGCAATCTAATTTCCCAATGGAGGCATGGAGGCTTAGAAAAGAGAAGGAAATTATATTGAAATTTGTTCCTCAAGCTATCATGTGGACCATTTGGGAGGATTGCAACCTATATGATGTAACGATTTCTGGTCACATATCAATTTTTTGGCTAAGTACCTTGTCAGCTCGTCTGCTCCCAAGTGGCATGTGACTCAGGGGCTGAAGTGGAGTTCCCTAGCGTAGCGCAACTCAGCTGCTCCCTACATGAGATGATCTGGCTACCAGCAACGACGAGAACTGAACTGGCTACTCTCTGCTGGCAATGATCTGCTCATCTTTGTAGGCGGTGGGAGCTGAGGGACTTGCGAGAACTAAATCAGAGAACCCGGGGGTGTTTACCCGGCAAGGTCACTCCGATGGCTAAGTCAACACTTAGTAGCGAGCTGAAAATGATATAAGAGAATGAGAGAGCTAGAGAGCAAGGGTTACCCTCTCCCCCTTTCGCCCCTGGGGGGTGAGGCCTTTATATACTGGAGTCCTCGCGGGTTTGGTGGAGCAGTTCCTGGATTCCCACTGTGACGGGACCTGCTTTCGTGTTAGGTGGGGGTAAAGCCACCAATCGGTAAGGTTGCCCATTTTCGCCTGACTCGGGGAGTGGGTGAGCTAATATAGTCGTTACAAGTCTCAATCCCCTAAAATGTGGGGTACGGTGGTGAGCTCCTCGGGGTTGTCACACGGTGGTCGGTCCGACTAGGAGGCGAGATGCTTGTGGCGAACTGCCTAGTGGCGAGCTGCTTGTGCAGTGCCAAGTTGTCTAAGTTGCTAGGCTATATGATGGTGAGCTGCCTGTGGCGAGCTACCTATGGCGAGCTGCCCGTGGCGAGCTGCTTGTGGCGAGTTTCCTGTGGTGAGCTGCCTGTGTTGAGCTGCCTGTAAGTGGCGAGCTCGAGCTGTCTAGTTGTCAAGAGGCTGCACTTACTTGGCATGAGGTGTTAGGTGTCATAATGTAATTGGAAGGCCAAATCCACCCTCATCACTATACATTTTTGAGAAAAGAGCAGATCTTTCAAGGAGATTATTGATCACATAGTGAGTTGTTGTAATTTTTGGGCTTCTAGTAGTAAGAAGTTCATGGGAATTAGTGTGGAAGAAATAAAAAGAAACCTAGTTGTTGCTTGCATACATCTCCTTTCTCGCCCCACACACTCTTAGTAGTTAGTAGGCAACCCTCACTTGACACAATGGCATCATTCTCAGATTTGATGGTAGGTCCTTGGGTAACCCTAGGTTGGCTGGTGTAGGGGGAGTTTTTTGGCCAGTTAGATGTAGAACCTTTCGGGCTTTTGGTGGGCCTATTGGGACTACAAGTTCCACGAAGATAGAGATCCTAGCATTGCTCACCGGTCTTCAATTAGCTAAACTACTAAGGTTAAAGTTCATTTATGATTGAGGGAGATTTTGCAAATACAATCAGGTGGCTAACTTCTAAGGTCCCATGTAAGCATCTACTCAACCAGGCTAGGGACCTAGTTGTAGATATGTTGACTTCCTAGAAATGGATCCCAAGGGAATTTAACATAGCAGCTCACTCATTGGCAAATTTTGGTCTTTTTAGAGAACATTTTTGTCTAACTATGCATTTCTACCTTGAGTTTAAAGGGCTTTGCTAATTACTATAGCTTATTGTTATCCTTCCTTCATTAAAAACAAAAAAACATGAGAGATGTACTCTCATGTTTTTTTACAAAATGTATATACTTTATATTTTTTTGTATTTCTATCTTTTTAAATATTTATTATTTAATTGACATGTAGGGTTTCCTATTTGGTTTAAAAGGTTGGACTGTTAACCCGCCATCAAGACAAGTATATGGTTTCATTTTTAGACCAATTTTAAATCTTCTATTTCATCTATATCATTAATAAAAATAATTAGTGTTTATCACACTTATCTTTGTTTAATATGATTAATATATAATATTAGAGATGTGTCTTTAAATACCAAGGCTGTCTAGTAATAAGTATCCCAATAAATCATAGTCTACCAAGCTATTAAATGAAAGATTTTAAGTGCATAAAGATGGGAAGCTTCAATTTAAAGCTCCTTGATTGTCAACTATGTTGGGGTTCCTTAAGCTTTATGGGACATGGGTCTTTCTGGTTTCCCATCTTTCTTGTCAAATGGAAAATGATTGTTTTATAGTCTACCAATCTTTGAAAAACTCAAAAGATCTTCTGAAAAGACTTGCTAGATAGACCCTAAATCTTCATACATAATTACCCCAAGGAAATCAAATCTATTATGGTGAGCATAGAGTTTTTAGTTCTTTATAAATATGTCAAGACTTTTTAAAAGCCCTTTAGTGATCCTTTCTGGGGTTACTTTGATATTTGTTGAGTACACTAATAAAATAAGAAAAATGACTTAATTGAGTTTGGATCGGATTAACTTTAATTGGGTTTCGAGTGAAGTTCAAATTGGACAAAACCTATGACTACCCAACCCATCAATAGTGATGATCATGAGTCAGGTCAGGTTTACAAGTAGTTAATAGCCTTGAGGCCTACCTAGGCCTATAATAGTACATGTTCAAGTTTGGTCCCACATCCGGATTGGCCCATATGAATATATAGGACTTGTAATTTAAAACAAATGAAGTTAAATTCACTTTATAATCAAATTATAGAAAACAAGATTAAAAAATTGCATAAAATATATTTGAAAATTTATTGTGTGCATATTAATATATTACACCATATATACATGTCATAGATATGATATTTATATGGATATATATATTTGGTAAAATACTATGTCATGTAAGAAAGATACTATATGATTACCATAAAAAATGTAAGATACTATACAAATAAATAAGGCATTATACCAATATTATAGTATATATTATAAATATACACACATTGGGATGGGATAGGTTTGTCAAACATAGGGCTTGCTTGGCTCGGGCCCTATCTACATTATGTGCAGGCTTGATGTAAGTCCGATCTAGACTAGGCTTGAGAGAAATTTGATTGCCTATGCCTAAGAATTTGCAAACTGAGTAGGTCAAGCTGAGCTAAATCATAAATGATCATCCCCACCCACCAATATCCCTAATCCCACGTTTATAAAGCTAAGCATATCCCTAAAATTAGAGTGAATAGCGTCAGTTCATAGAAACAAATAAGTATTGAAATGGGTCATTGTAATGTATCTTATACAAAAAAATTGATGATCTTTTTGAAAGCTATAGAAATGGGTGATTGGTTACAAGTGTACACGTCACTTCCCAATTTAGCACAATCGCTTCTACCTTTTTGTCCCTTTGAAAAGGTGGATGACTAATTAAACTATAACCAAGATTTGGTCATTCAATGTTTTTCCATAGAAATCATCCTCAATAGTAACTGCATGGGTATTTTGAACATTTTTGTACCTATTATTAGAGGATTCTAATAAGGGATATACTTATAACTGTGCCAAAAAGTTTAGGGGAAGTAATTGCAATTACCAAATTTCAATGGAGGCAATAGTCAAAATTTTCATGAGAGGTTTCAGCAAATTACCTTAAATAAAAAAAAAAACTCATTATTCATTCAATGCAGCAACCAAATGAGAACACGAGATTCAATGACAATTTAGGACACTTGTAATACATCATTTACTAATAATGATAGACGAGTGAAATATTAAATATACTTTGATCTTTGGGCACTTTCGATTATGTACCATTCATGTTGAGAAATTATCTTCATTAATTTCAATCTTTAAATAGGTTTTATCAAGTGCATTATAAAATACTTGTTTTTTCTTTTTTTAATTAAAAGTTGCATGTTGCAACATGAAGTAAAACCATATCGGCGTACACAGACTTCTTGAATAACAGTTTCATTAAACTCACCTTGGTGCCTACCATATCAATCATATTACCCTTGGCTAACATATCATCTACAACTTGTTCACTGTTAAATATAATGAATCCAAAGCCTCGAGAATGATTGGTTACATGATCATGAATGATCTGATGATCCACCACCTTCCCATACTTAGAGAACTTTTTGAACTTGTCTTTAGGGACAATTGTTGGCACCCCACCAACAAAAATCTTCTTTGTTTTAAAATCCTTAGATTGTATAGAGCCCTTAGGTATGGTTCTTTTAACTTCAACTTGTTTTCCATTGATAACATGGGTCTCTTCGATAACCTTGTCAACAACTAATGGATTAGCATAAGTAATAAACCCAAAACCCCTTGGTTGCCCGATGTATCGATCTTTCATTATCACTGAATTGGTTATCTCTCCATATTTTATGAAATACTTTGTGAATGTAGCTAAGCTCATGTCTTTGGCTAATCCACCGATAAAAATCATTCCAGGACTCGGTCCCTCTCCTATGTGCTGGTCATTAGAGGGCTTTGAATCATTTTCTGATGATGCACCCTTAGATTTCGGACCCATAACCTTTAGCATTTCCCAAATATCTAACGACCTAGAGATCTGATAGAGGAAAAAGATCAGGAAATTAGGTTAGGTGAAATGGGGTTTAGGACTTGCGAAGACTTTGCGATAACTAGCTTAATATTCAATACAGATTGAGTAATTGCAGTCTTTAATTCAGTTTTTAAATATGATTATTAAACATGTGAAGAGCAATTACAGTCTTTAAATATGTTTTATTAAACACATAAAATACTTGTTTTGCCCTTATTTGTACTTCAGAAAATATTAAATAAAAGGGTAATTTTTGTCCAACCAAAATTATATTCAGTACAGATTGAGTAATTACAGTCTTTAAATATGATTATTAAACATGTGAAGAGCAATTACAGTCTTTAATTTCAGTCTTTAAATATGTTTTACTAAACACATGAAATACTTGTTTTGCCCTTATTTATACTTCAGTAAATATAAAATAAAAGGGTAATTTTTGTCCAACCAAAATTCCAGAAATATTATGAGAACATCCGTGCATTTTATAGTAGTATAGATATTTACTTATAAATATATTAATATATTTATTTATAAATATGTTTATATTGCATTTTTCATAATTTTTTTTATAAAAATATATGTATATATTAATATATATATATATATATATTTGAAATTAGTTAAAAAATACTTATATTTTTTTTGTTTTTTATATAAATTTTTATGTTTTTTCTTTTAATAATTTATTAATTTTTTCATAATTCAGATCAGATCAAATCATATTTGAATACCCAACATCCTTAATGATTCAGATTCGAATCACTATTTATGAGTTCCGATCAGATTTCAGATATGTGCTATTGGATCGGATCGGACGATTTGCATCCCTACCTGATCCGGAGTGGTCTAAATCTGTATCATCCACAGCCACAGCCCCCTCCATCAAAGCATCATCAACTGAAGCCCGATAGTCCTTGCCTGCATCGTCTGGTGTTAACTTTGTCAAATAGCAACCACCGCATCTCACCTTCCAGAGATGATCAAAATTTCACCCACCACATTATCATCTTGATCCAATTGATCAAAGCCACTCTACAAAGGAGCGTATGCATTTTACCAAATCTGAATGAATAGTAAACCTTGACCAAAAACCACATAAAAGGAACAAATGATCGCCTATATAGCCTGTTTCATTATACACTCCACAAAATGGACAGCTTGGTGATTGGCACAAAGACGTAGCGCTCTAGATAAGATAATCGTGGTGCTAAGCCTTTTTAAGGCCCAAAGATGCCTCCCTTCAGCATTCAGCAATTGAGGTAGGTGATGAAAGCCAAACCCCACTTGTTATTTCTTTGTAAAGACAGCTGATTGTGAATTTCCCAGAAGTGGTTTTGGTCCAAACAAATTTCTTTGTTGCTCTCAATTCCTTCCACCGCAACTGTGTCAATCAAATTGGAGAGTTTATTATGTTCATCTCACATTTGGGTGGGTAAGGGTTATTGGATCTAGCAGCTCCGAGGCATAATTTACATCTTCCAAACCTGCAGCATGCAATAGCTAGCAGGGATAGGGATAGGAGTGAAGGATGGGAGGCTGGGGTCCACAGTTCCTCTCGAACCTTAGGGCCTGTTCGTCATTTCGGAACAGTTTCGATACAAGGAACATGTAATAAATTCAAAAAATCTGAACAATAATAAATTCAAAATATCAGAAAGGTAATTTTTAAGGATTTTTTTTGGATTTTCTAGTGTATTCATGCGTATCTAGATTTTTCGTCCGTATTTATACATTTCCAAAGTGTATCTCGATACGTCTCTTAAAATTACCTTTCCGATACTTTGAGCCTTACTGAATTCTGAATTCAAAATTCTAAAAATTATTAAATATTCACTTTGATCCTATATATGAGAGTTTTTGTTTGTCTTTTTGGGAATATCATTGGAAAACAAAAAATTGTATGATTGTACTTTAAGAGATAAGAGAAAAGAGGAAATGAACAACAATTTTTCTCTTAAAGTTAAAAGATTTCTCTTAAGAGATAAGAGTTAAGAAGAAAAAGAGCAGGCCCTTAATGTCCAGACCTGGCCTTGCCAAAACTCCAACAAGCGCCCAATCTAACATATTTATAAGTTACACAAATTGCCCTTCCATCTTTTGGTTACTAGCAACCCAAAAACTTAAGGCCCCTGTTTGTTTTTCTAGGTTGTTGGCTTTTTAGAAGTCTGGTAACTCAGGTTTGCACCTTTCTTCATTTGGTTGGAAGAAGATGTTTTTGCCAAAAGACCGTAACTCGAAAAAATGTAAAAAGTTCGATTCGGGTTTATTTCAAAAAACTAGAAATAGAGCTTCTCGCAATAAACTTGATTCAGGCTTATGAAAAACAACTCCAATCAAACAATCATTAAACTTTTAAGATTTTAATGAAAAAATCTCACAAAATCTTCTAACTGTCAGATAGATCTTTCAAAAAAGATTTACCAAATGGCATCTTAGAATTTGAAATTTGTGTTAAGTTGTAGCTTTTGGAGTTCTTAATCCCTAAAGGCCTAAACCACCACTATTCTTCGGTAATTCAAAACTAGACTAAGCTTTTAAGTATAAATGTGGTGAGTTATTTGTAAAACCCTCTACTAAAAATCGCAGATTGTGGCATCTACTTGGTCACACACAGCTGGAGAGATCAAACATACCTGTACTCATGTGATATACCAAAATAGCCGATATGGTGAACGAAATAAGCACTAGTTTTCCAGCATGCATGGGAGAGTAGTTTCGACTTCCAAGCCCCAACCACTTAGTTTGGATTTTATCTTTTTTTCCACCAAAAACTCTTGTGACCATTTCTTGTTGCAGCCCTCAAAGAATGGATTATCGAGAGCATTCTCTAGTGTCATCAATGGACATTTGGACTATAAAATATAGCAGATTTTCGATCAGTACAAATCAAGAGTGCCTTCAATATTTTGAGTCTCCATAGGAATTATTCGTCCAAAAAATAACATCATCTGTGAACGATAGATGGTTAGTTGTCGCAATACGTCTTCTTGCTTTGACTCCCTTTATGAAACCTCTTTACAGTGTATTTAACATTAGAATAATTCTAGAGAGCATCTCAGAAATAATAATGAAAATACCATTCACCAACACAACAACAGAAGTTGTTTCGGTGCATAATCTAATTAAATCACAAAAACCAGAATGAGGAATGACCACTTTACCCTGACATATGCCTTTGGCCATGTTTAATTTCTGCACAATTCCTTCTACACAATACATTACATAATCCAATAAGCGTCAAATCAAAAAGGATATTCAGGACTATTCTTCTTAGAGACAATTGCCAAATAAATGTGGTTGTGGTTGAGAGAGTGGTGGAAGAAATTCTCTATAAAAATTAAAAATTGTTGGACAAATTCCGTTAATTTCCTACCAATAATCACCCGAACACAGCTGCTAGTTCATCAAGTCCTGGCGTCTTGAGAGGCCCTGATTAAAGAAAAGAGTCTATTTCATCCAAGGTTTTTAAAATCGATTCAGAGAACGAATCAGTCCTGGGTCGAACAGTCCAACCATTTGAACTGAACAGTCAGTCCGTTCTGACAAAAAAATAAAAAAATTAAAAAACGGTCAAAACCATTGAATAGTTCAAACGGTTTAACCGCCCCTGCCAGCGGTTTACTGACCAAACATGGTGGGATGCAGTATACGGATGCCGCTGTAAGGTCAATGTGAGGAGCAGATCTCAATTCCGCCCGCCACAGGATAGTTGTGTGCCATCGCTTTGTCAATACACTGTGACGGGATCTGCTCCTCACAAATGGGTGTCTTACATGCACATCCACCGTGCATTGAGAATATCTCCCGTGAATAATAACTAATTAAGTGTGGGAGATGTTCCCAATGCATGATAGGATGTGTGTGTAAGGCGCTAGGTGTGAGGAGCAGATCCGGTCTCTCATAAGAAGGGCCCACACACCTCTTCTGTAATTGTTCAAAACAGGTGCCATAGCATTAGAGATTGATGCAATGTGGAAGTTATGCTGAATGGAATCTCTAACAGAAGATTGAAAGTTCCCTGACCACATCTTGATCTTACTATGAGATGAGACCCACCATAGCAAGATGCGGACACCACACCGGTCTCTCGACTCTCTTCACTTTCAGCCAGCTTCTTAATAGAAGTAGAACAAACACCATGAGCAGCCGGGGAAGTACAGAAGGCGAGTCAAAAGGTGCTATCGTAGCTTCTTAATAGACCAGTTGAGAAATCCTTAATCAAAATGCGAGCCTTCATCCTTTGAATCTGTAGGTCAATCAAGAACGCTAACAAATGCAGAAAGCTTGATTTACCATACAAAAAATCATAGATAGTAGAAGAACAAGAGCACAATGCAAACAAGCCCACGCATGATGTGTTACCTTGTAACTTTTGAGGAGCCGAAGCTTCTTTCCACTGTTTTCAAAACCGGACCAGACTAGACGGTGGGACCGGAAAAACCGGGACTTCACCAGTTCTATTTTTCTCCAAAAACTGTTTTTTCCCTCAAAATCGTTGATTTTGGTCAACAAACCGCTGAACCGACTGATTAATCGTTCAAATGGTTTTAACCGTTTTACATTTTTTTATCAGAACGGTAACCAGACCCTGACCAGTTTGGTCACCGGTTCGTTTTTAAAAACCATGCTTCTTTCAATCATATAGAACTGTATAAATGCAAGCCTCAACTGTACATTCTTCAGAGCTTTGAAGGTGCCAACTAACCTGCTGGTAAAGTCTCAAGCTGGCCGTAGTCTCTACTCTGTAGAGGAAACATAGGATCGAGTCCCCTGCTTCACCCTGGGTAAAACTTCACTTAATGTTGTTGGAACTTGGAGACCTTCAAATCCCATTTTGATGGTAAGAGGACGGAAGTCTCAAATAGGTTGATGATTCGGCACACGAGTAAGGAAGGACTTCCAATGGAGCTGGACTGGTCTATAAAGTATTGATTTTTTACTTGGCTTCGCTTCACCAACTATACCATTAATAGATCTGATGTAATTGGCATGTCTCCTTGTTTGAGTCGTTCTGCAGCTCAATTCTACTTCTACTATTACATTCATGTACCATTGTAGATTTTAGAGAGAGAGAGAGAAGCTGATGGAAGCTTTTTTTTTTTTTTTTACTTTTTAACTTCCGGGTGTCGCTTATACTAATGATCCCATGTGTGAGTTCGGACAGTAAGTAGCTCAGTTGATGATTGCTAGTGTTTACTACAAAGCTCATTAAAAACTTGCCGATCCGAGCTCCATTACTTTGGGTTCTTTGTGCTTTTGACTATTTCTTGTCTTTGGTTAATGAAATGCTTTTGGCATATTCATGTATTAATTATCCAGCCATGCTCATTTACATGGTAATTGAAATCAGTGTTTTCCGACCATCGTTATCTGGACAGTAGGACCGTTCCGCCCAGAAACCAACCAGGCAACTGGTTCCGTTTCACACTTAACCTGGTCCTTGGCCATAAACCATTGACTTAGTCAGCAACACACTGACCCAAGCAGTCAAACCATCAATCTGAACCCAGACAATTTTTGGCTGTTTTTTATTTTTTAAGTTAGAATGGACCGTCTGTTCAAACTGGACAAGCCGATGATCAAAGTAGTTCCGGTTCCGGGTCCATTTTTAAAACCTTGCTTGAAATCTCTTAGAAAAGACCCAATTAATGGTGGATGTGCTGAATTCCCGATCCTCTGTTGCATATGTTAATAATCAAAACGCGAGCATTGTGTTGGCCACGGAAGGGAACATATTACCCTGCCTGATGATTGCACAGCCAATTGAACCGACACTGTATTATGGGCTTTCACGATTCGGGTTGATTTTCTGACCCGGCATGATCCACCATCACCACCCAAATCAAGGATTTCTTAACCAACAATAACAGGAATCAGACATCTCAATAAGAGAAAAAAAAAGAATGTCATTACAGAAGCAGCGCTTTGTAACTTTATCATACATTGTGGAGACCGGAGAAGCACAAAATTCTAATATCAGAAATACCATTTGGGCCTTAATTCCTGCTCCTTCTCCGTTAGCTCTCTGTACTCGTACCACTCTCCTCCAGCCTTGCCAACCGGCATAGGAGGACGAACAAAGATCTCAACTGGCTTGGGGATATGAATGGCCAACTGTAGTTTTTCGCCACTTTCTTCACTACCTGATATAGAACCTTCATGCATTGTACAGAAGAAGTCCACGGTTACCCATCCAAGGCCAGATATAGCAACATCACAAACGGGTCTGCCAAAGAAAACCCATGTTTAGGATCTTAAAATTGGCAGTAGAGATAGAACTGATTCCAAACTATAATAATAAGGGTAAAAGACTTAAACATATCTCTGGGTTTTCCTAAATTGACTTAGCATGCCCTGAGTTTTTCAAATAGACTTAAAATATACGTTGTAACTGTAAAAGACTATTTTACCCTCTATAATTATTTAAATTTTCAAAAAGAACCAGAGACCCAGACCCCACTGAATCCAACTCCATCTCGTGCTTGGTCACTTTATCTTGAATGTGATCCACATGTGTCGATGAAATGAACAACAATTTTGAGACTGCAGAACTAGATTAGCAGCCTCTTCAGAATGATCCATTGTCAACAAAAACTTAAGAATGTGCTCCCAATCACAAAACCACTCTCTTTTCACCTCTAATCATATTAGGATGCTCCATACTAGGAATCTCAGAAAGAAAAGATTGACCAATCAGAGAGACCCAATCTGGGAACATGACCCAAAGTAATGGTGATCACTGATTTTTCAGTGATTCTGGAGGCAATCCCAAGGGTAAATTTGTTTGAAACAAGGCCTAGTGAATTTACCCTGAAGACAAGAGCTCCATCAACATGCCAACAAAAGGGATTATTGTTGACGAGTGAGGATGCCTTGGAGTTCCAGAGGAGGACAAAGAACGTCAGCATGGTTTTGTGGAATAATGAGATATTCAAATTTCCCCTTGGAAGTTCAACATGGTGCCAACAAAATTTTCTCTCCCCTTTCTTAGATCCCATTCCTTGGCAAAGACACCTCCCAACACATCAAATCTATAAGCTTGCTGCCTTACAATGCCAGGAAAAAGGGTCCTACAGAGATGGGTTTTGAGAGTAGTTTCTTCAATGGTCTCCGTCTCAGTTTCCTTTGTCTCACCATTTTGAATTTGTTCTTAATGGGCAAGCTCCTTATACTCATGTTTAAGTCAAATGGGAACCTCATGCAACTAGTATGGCTGCAAAAGAGAACTTGGGTTAAAAAAAATTAAGCAAGATCCTTGAATAATCATGTTCTGTTGTGGTTGTAGAAACAGAGCAAGAAAAGGAGGAATATTGTTTTAAAAGATTCTTTTATTTTCAAAGGGTAAAATAGGATTTTTAGAATATTAAAAGAGGTTCATGAAATAGGACAAGAAATGAGGGCATGTTTAAGTCTAATGGGTCAGCCCATAAGGTATATTTAAGCCTATTTGAAAAACTCAAGGTATGTTTCTAAGTCAATTTATGAAAACTCACTCAGAGTATGTTTGTATTTTACAATAACAATAACAATAACAATAACAATAACAATAATAATAATAATAATAATAACAATAATAATAATAATAATAATAATAATTTATCCTCTAGGAATATAATAGATCATATTTTTTTACCAAAAAAAATGATTAAAATTCCCTAAGCAAAGGTAAGAATAATGCAGGAAACTCTGCACTTATTTTATTTATTTTTTGGAGTCATCCCGCACAACCAACCTAAGCACAAATCCTATTTTATGTCACTTGAATATTTTCATACTTTTTCTTTGTGGGGTGGGCATTGCAACTTTCAGCTCTACAGTCTACAGATGCCTGCTTTAACTGACCACCTAGACTATAATCTGTCATCAATTAAGAACCCAAAAACAAAATGTTTCTTTATACTCTTTCTCCTTGTTATTATAAAAACCAAATGGATAAATTATTAAATAAATAAATATAAAAGACAAAAATAAAAAAAATATATGAAAATGTACTCTGCCTTCATAAAAAAGCACAAAAAAAAAAGAAAAAACTACTTTTCTCTTTGACAGAGCTTTCTAACAATAATAACACAGTAGAAAAAAGGCCATTGAATGTGTGAAAGTCATTTTAGAAGCAGCTGGGCAGAGATTGAATACAAAGAGGAGCTGGTGGGCACAAGTTTCTATTGGAGGAAAAATTTTGCAAGGGTCTTGATCCACATTTCCTTATTTCACTAGAAAATTCAAAATTTCCCATATCAATAATTTCCCCTAATGTTGGTAATTGGAGCACAATAAATAATTTGGCTCAAGTTATAATAGAAGTTCATACCAGGAAAAAAAAAAGCAATTAAAAACATTGTATCAAATAGAGGCTTCTCTACACGGTCCATCAAGTATGTGAACCCACTATAACCTAATTATCATGAACATTAATCAGAACCGTTAATGCTTCAAAAAGAAAAAGCAGAATCTAAAAAGTTGGGTCACTAGCTAATCAGAACTGTGCAGGATGATGGATTGTTGACTCACATTAATGTAGACAAATATCAGATGGACCTTCATGATGGATTAACAATGACATACCAGTAAATTTAGAGAACATCAAGGTTCAAAGTATCGACACAGGCCGATATGCTGGTATCGGTGCTTTTTTTATGTTTTATTTATCTTTTATCAAAACCGGTTCAGAGGGGTCGGTTTAAGTCCCAGCTACCCTCTGAACCATGGTCTGACCTGATACAACCCCTGGAGGGGCGTATCGGGAAGCCATCGGCACGATACGTATTGGCCGATACGTGTCGACACTTTGAACCTTGGAGCACATGTAATGGGTGGGATCTACGATGCAATGTAAGTTATGGTTGCAAAATTTCATACCAAAACCTTTTTATGAACCATTTGACATGTTTTCCTTTTTTTTTTCTCATGATACTCTAAAGAGTGCGATAAGAGCAAAATGACATAATGACCAATATATATATATGGTCTCTTTTTTAGTTAATAGGCATATATGGTCAAATTCTGTGCAGGGAGTTTCTTAGATGGAATCTATCCAGATCTAAGGCTACTGGCAAATGGACAGAAGCATATGCATTTAGCTTGGAAAAAGAAAATACAAGGCCTTAGCACACCTTGACATTGGGAAAATCAGCCATACCTCCTTCGATCTTCAAAATTTATTTGCAGCTGACGCACTGTTTGGAGTCCTTCCCAATTCTCTGCACTTTGTTTCCCAGTTGGTGGTGTCAATAGAACTCCAAGTTCTTGCTGCAATAATCAAATGAAGGCAAGCCAAAGTATTATATGGACAATGGCATGTAAGATAAACATGTATAATCAATACTAATAGAAAAACATGGATAACTAATCCCATCTTGCAGATTAAAAAACTAAGAACATTAATGGCATGACTACAGGAAGTTTGCCGAAGGCAAGACACCCTCAACAACTGTGCTATTTGATTGTATACAGCTACATGGAAAAAGTACTCAGGATATATCATGATAATACATTAATACATAGAAAAATTGGATCATACCTGAACTTGATCCTTTAAGAATCCTTATATCTTCATTGTTGTAGATTTATAATGATACCCAAAGGTTGTTTAGTCTTTCCATGATCAAAACCACACATTCACATGGGAAAATTAAAGCATTTGACAATACGAAGCACAGGGTTGAAAGAAGTTGTTAACAATAGTTCTATTTCTGGATCATGGAACAGTCACAGAAGCCAAAAGGGTAACCCAGCTGGATCATAAAAGCACAGATAAAACTTCACCATCTTATGTAAGTTGCCAAGGCATGCCTATGCATCATTGATTCATCTCTAGGCTCAACATGAAAACGACAACTGGAGGAAACATTTATTTTTTCAATATTTCCCAACTGTAATTGTAATGGTGTTACAATTTGTCATGATTGTTAGATGGTGAACACATCCACAACTTTCAAAGTTGTTGATTTATTGCCCTTATGGAGGAGATCCCCTCCCGACAGATGTTATGGCCAACCATATGCTAATGAAATACAGGTGCCATTTTGCACGAGATGACTGAATATCACACTGTAGATTATTTCCAGAACCTATTCAAAGTTAAAAAGGCCTTAACCCAATTGCCCTGCAAGCCAGATCGTATCATACAAAACAATTTATCAAGGAAGAGTCTCACCTTGTTCACATTCCCACTTATAAAAGAGAAGTGAAACCAATAGCATCAGTTTTCATCTGTGAAACTCTATTGCATTGGATGAAATGCCGATACATCATCTCTGGTTATGAAATTATGTTTCAAGAACTTTAAATCTCTAAGTGTTATTACCTTATGAAGCCTCAATCAGAATATATTCAGCTATTAGGAACTTAGGGATTCTTTTGCCTCACCAACTTTCCAAGGATGGTGTAAGATGAAGGCAAGAGTTAAGAATTACATTGGCTGCAATTGTGTAGCCAGAAATTTTTAGTACATCATTTTATTTGGTATATATTTATCCAGATATTCATAACAAGGGAGAGATTGAGGAGGCTGTCACCCATAGAACTAGAGTAGGATGGCAAAATGGAGGGGTGCACCTGGAATCTCATGTGATAGGCAAATACCACTGACATTAAAAGGAAATTTCTATGGAACAGTTTTAAGGCCAACTATACTGTAGGGAGCTGAGTATTGGGCAGTCAAGAAACAACAAATTAAAAAAACGAGTGTGGCAGAAATGTGTATGATGAGGCGGATGAGTGGAAAAACTAGAAAGGATTGGGTCAGAAATGAAATGGAAGGTATTTCCGTGCCACTGCCATTTCACTTCTGACCCAATACTTTCTAATGATAGGCAAATACCACTTGGATAAAAAGGAAAATTCTATATAAAAGTTGTAAGGCCAACTATGCTGTATGAAGCAGAATCGGCAGTCAAGAAATATGCCCAAAAAAGGAGTGTGGTAGAAATGATGAGTGGAAAAATTAGAAAGGGTAGGATCAGAAAAGAGAGCAGCTCCAATAGGTGATAAAATGAGAAAGTAAACTAAGATGGTTCAGTCAAATGCATGGAAGACCATCAACAGCACACGTAAGAAGAAGTGATCTGTTGCAAGTTGAAGGGGCTAATAGAGTTATGGATAGAGCAAAAGGACATGGATTGAAGTTGTAAGAAATGATTTAAGTGCTCATAATTAAACAATGGATATGGCATTAAACAGAATGGAAGGGTGAAACAGGATTCATGTAGCCGACCCCATATAGTTTGCATAAAGCTTGGATGATGATGATGATATTTATCCAGACAACAAGAAATCAAAGAGCTTTCTTTTTCTTAACTTATATATGCATACACACATAACTGAAAGATACATGATACTCAGTTTCATTTGGTAAAAATAGAAATAGGGGGGAGGGGGAGCCAAGGCGGTTCGTAGAACTAAATGGGTTTGAACCAGCAAAAGCAATTTAATAAGCTAAGCAACCTCAATATTCCAGTTATGGAAAAGAACCGAGGTTTCATTTGGCATTCCTTATTTTGCAGTTAAAAACTGTGTTCATAGGGGCATTTTAATTGCAAAAAGGAGATAAGTCCTTAAAAATAAGGAATGACAAATGCAGCCTAATTATGAAAACAAAGAACTCAAGATTACCTGGTAAAATTCATCTGCTTGAGTAGTGGGTACCATATGAATCCGCAATGCCTTGGGTCCATAGAAGGTTAAACGTGTAGATGGATGCACCTGGAATTTCTTGTCTAATCAGTTAAAACTGAATAACATTGTCTTGCAGTGGTAAAACCAATGAACACAAAAGTAAAAAGGAAAAAGATATTAGGAGAAAAACCTTCAAGACATCAATTCTGACAAGACCTCCCCAAAAAAATGAAAATCCATTCAAATCACTGGCTTCAGTTTCACATGACATTGTCTTTTGGGAAGCTACCTGAACATTCCAATATGTTAGGTTAGGAAAAAGCATAAGGCCCAAATTGAAATCTTTAAGGAAATGTTTGTTTGTTTGTTATTGGAATAATATATGCAAGGAAATGTTAGAAGAAAGACAAAAGGGAACATACAGGGAATATTTGACCCCGGAGACGACTTTGAGGAGCAAGGGCAGGTAGGTCTTCTGAATGAACAACTGCTGCTTGCCTATGGTGGAGATGTACTCCAGGTGTGTCAAATAACTTCTGTAATGCATGAGAAAAAACAACTAGTAAGGTTTTATCTTGACTTTAGAGAGGAAAGTCCATGTCAACAAACATCAAATTCTTTTTTCTTCTTTTCTCATGGGTGAGCTTTAAAACTCCGATTAGTTCAACGAATATAGTGACTCTTTAGAAAGATAGGACATGAGTTCAAGGATATAAAGCTGATCGCTTTAGAAAGATAGGGCGGGCACTAAACATGACCACACAAGGAAAATAAAAAAAAATGTCAAGTTCAAAAAAAAAAAAAAAGTAGGCAAGAAAAGGATTGTTACAAGGGTAAGAAGAAGTGTACAAAAAAAAAAAAAAAACTTGCATAACAATTCATTATTAACAGTAGTAAAAAGCATGTCCTTGGGAACTCAGAAGATAGATAATTAGTGAAGACAGGGAAGAGCCCCAAGTTCCAATAAACATTGTCAAGATAAGAATATACCCCGCCTCCAAGAAAAGCATCTATTTGTATAGGACCCAAGGTAGTTCCAGGAACAGCAGACTGGATTGGTTTGTATTTCCGTGCCACTGCAGCTACTGGATCCTTTTGTGCCATCATCTCTATTATTTCAAAAAGTAACAAGTTAAAAATATAAAAAAAAAATCTGCCTTATACATTTATAGATTAAAGATAGAATAAAAAACCTTGAAAGAAAGAAAGGAAATACCATATAGAAACAGATTTAGAATAGCAACAACAACAATAACAAAGGTGGTGGTGGTGGTGGTGGTGGTGGTGGTGGTGATGATGATGATGATGCTGATGATGATGAATCGATTAAAATGATTGAACACTTATTAAAATGAAAAGCCTGGACACAAGTAGATTGATGAACTTGATGAACTTACACCTCAAAAGAAAAAAAGAAAAAAAGAAAAAAAGTAGATTGATGAACTTGAAACTAAGACAGCTTGATTGATTTGAATTAGTGGGCAACTGGTATTGAATAAAACCACTAAGTTACAGAAATAGTGAAATTAGAATTAATAAAGGACATTAGCCTCCTGGTGACAATAAAAAAATGTAAGTTCTTTTTCTTTTAATTTGATCATTATCAGTAAAAAAATTGGTACTCTGTTGCTGTAACATGGATCCTTTTCTAAATCAGACTGGGCTGGCTGATCAAAACTTGGTTCATCAGAAGAACCCTTACCGGTTCAGTTAAAACTGATAAACCAGATTTTTTTTATACTATTAGTTGAACTGGAAAAGGTAACCAGGACGTTTTATGTTATTAAAGTTTTCTCCAGTTTTCAAAACATTGTCTCTCTGCATCAGTAGATGTGAGTCATGTGACTCCACTCAGGTAAGTGCGAATAAGCAGTGAGCCTCCTTCACCATCCAACCTTTAGAAGGCTAGTACTGGACTGGGAGATAGAAAAATGTATCATACTGCCGGGGATTTTGGAGGATGATGAACTAATATTCCCTAATGCCAAGGACCAAAGGATTAGATGATTCCAAAGGTGAGTTTTTAGTTCAGTCATCCTACACCAAATTTATAAGAGTTGCAGAAGCCACTTCAGATTTATCTAAATTATGAGGAAATAGGGTGCTCCATGAGTATCTTTGCATGTCTTGTGCCACTAATGGCCTTGAAAAAGATATGTACCCAATCAGCTCAAATCAAGGAATATCAACTTGGCAAGTCTTTAATGTGTAAGTGGAAGTATCAGCCAACCTCTTGTGTCTTACAATGTAAGGCTGCAACAGAGATCTGGTGGTTTTCCTATACATCCATAGAGTTGAACAGAAGATCCCTACCTGAGTACCTCTTCTCTAATCTTGGCAAACAATTTCTTTTGAAATTAAGATAGCAGCGTTTTGGAGAACTACCTCTTCCACATTACAATATGGCATATGTGGAAGGAGAGGCATAAAGAAATCATTAAACATAGATCACAACCATTATAAAGAATATGGAAAGGCATTAGCTTGTTTATCATGGGTGATGAGAATAAAAATTATCATATTTTTATCCCTAAATATACAGTCTTTTATACTTAATTAGTACTTAATTGGACTCATTACTCTTGTATTTCGATTCAGGGCATGAAAGAAGGCGTCAGAAGAAAAACAAGGCTAATCGGGTGAGTTTGCACAGTTTCGGCGCCGCTTAGTAATCTGGGCATAACTCTCCCATCCGGACTCCGATTGAGATGATTCAAGATGCATTGGAAAGATAAGGAAGAACTCTACAACTTTCATGTTTTGAGTTTTGATAGATTCGGGCTGCATCGAAGTCAAAATCGGACCCGAAGTCTGAGCAAATTCGCAGGGAAGCCCAGTTCGCAGCAAAAGCCCAACTCGCAGAGAAGCCTTGCAGCGGCCCAATTCGTTGAGGAAGCCTAATACGAATGCAAGAATAAGAAACTGTAAAGAGTCCTATCAAATTTAATTTTCTGATGTAATTCTAGAAAGATAAAGGAGATTGAGATTACTAGATAAGAGATAAGGATAGGATTAGATTAGGACTTTCTATTTTTAAGGAAGAACTCCAAGGAGTTGGAAACAGCCCCTCCTCCTAAAGCTATATAAAGGGGGGGCGGACTAGCACCAAGGCATCAATCAATTTCTGGAGCAATCAAGGAGAAATCCTCCAAGAGAGCTTCAGCCTTCAAGAAGGCAGTCGACAACGCAGGAGGAGAAAAGGAGGAAGGTGGCGGCAAGGAGAAGAAGTTCATCGATCTCAACCTCAAGGGGTGACATCATGAGTTCTTTCTTATACCTTGTTTGTTTAATTTCCTTTATCATGAACTAATCTATTTGTAGCTAGGGCTGTGGAAAGCCTAACCACGACCATGGATTGATTTTTATTTAATTCAACCAAGTTGTTTTTATTTTCATATTGTCTATGAGTTATTATGCATAATGCAATTAGGAGCTTGGCCACCTCCTAGTTGATTTGGTTTATATGAATGAACCAGAAGGGGAATTCATATAAAAGACTAAATAATTCATAGTGTGAATTGAAAGGTATATAGGAATATATATACATGATTCATATGATGACACAGGTTTTTCATAGAACTTAATGCACTTTCTATCTCGAGAACCCTAATCGAGGGATCGAAGGGTTACTTGATAGAAGTAAGTCTGATATATCCTGGGAGGGAATATCAAATAAATTAGGAAAGACTTCAGCTTATGAAAATAATAAATCATCTTGGTTAATTTAATAAATTGATGTTCATTGGGATGGTTAGGTGGACCAATAGTCCTAGCGCTTTCAATTAAATCGTTGCAAGTTCAGTCGTTGATTGCCTTT